TAATCTTCTTAAATTCATAACTTCAACATTAAGTAGCAATACATATTAATACATAATGGTAAAAGAGGACTTGCACAAATTTCCGTGCTTCTTGAGGTTATTTTGACAAGAACATAAAAGACAGGAAAAATTATACCAATTACTACTGAGCTGACAGAATTTTTGATGCAGAACAAACAGCAACTGTTTAGAGAGATTACTCAGAAAACAGAGAGTAAGCTTAAAATCAGTCATACCCTACTTTAAAAGATTATGAAGAGGTGTTGATTCCTTTTCTTCATACAGAGATAAATATATATTCAAATCAGATTATTTGCTTCTCATAATGGGCCTTGAAACAAGGCCAGATGTATTTGATCAATGTAAATCAGCGAACTGATAAGCGTATACAATGTCAACCATTTATTCCAACATAAATATTTTTACTCCATTCTAAAAAATGTCCTCAGGGTGATTTACAAGAAGCAGTTGCAGTAAGCAAGATTATTATCTTTGTATATACTCCTGCATACTACACGAGTTAAGTAGTTTACTGCAGAAACAAGATGGCAAGTTATTGATCTATACCACAGAAATTATATTTCAGAGTTTGTAGCACTTGTCATTACTAGAATAGTATATGTCTTCCTCCCATGTAAAATTGCCAAAAAAACGACTAGAAACTGACATCATGAATATATTCCATGCCAAATTATCACCATCAGCCATCACATGGCTATGTATGTGCTTTATCCATGTCCTTCCATCTATCAGCTTTGTCCTTTTCAGAGGGTAAAGAAAAGAAACCAAACTGCTTGTTGTTTCTTCTAAATACAAATCAACCAACACCTCAAGTATCTACAATTATTCTGATGTTCAAAGGATCAGTGTGGATGTTTCAGATTGGATTTTTCAAATCCAATAAAACTGTCACCAAGCAGCAAAATACTTGGATCTTTTAGGTTGAGCCTATTCATCCTGTCTGACAATCAAAAGTAGAAGCTCATAATTTCATTCCTTCCTTTTGCAACTCTAACTTATCATTGTGAGAATTTTTTTCAATTCCTTATTCCTTATTATTTGCCTACACTTTTAGTTTTTAGCAATGGATAAGTACTAAACAATTATTTAATTTTAAATAATTCCAATACAGTGGAACCTTTACTTAAGAGCAACCCAACTTAAGAGTGTTTAAGAGCTGTCCCTTGGCCTGGGTTTCACTTTGACATAAGAGCAGCATTTTTGAGTTATGAGCTAGCACCAGAGGGAGCATTATTATGAGAGTATAAAGTTTTAGGGCTCTGAGTTCTTCAGTGAAGGAGAGAAGGCGGGATATAAAACAAAGTAAATACATAAATAGGGTTTCAAGGGATCAGCCTCCATGCCTTGTGCTTTGTCTGCTTTGGGAGATTGCTGTCTGCCTTGCTCTTGTCCACTTTGAGGAACTTTGGTTTAATTGATTTTGTATGATTTTTATCCCCAGTATATGTTTGGCATCATGAAGAAGGTGAGGGAGAGAGAACGAGAGGGGGGGGGGGGAGGCTGGAATGAGTACAGTATGAAGAAAATTATGCTTCGGCTTTTTCACTTTGTGCTTTCTTGCCACAACTTTGTGCTTCTACCATTTTAAAGTTGATCTTTCTTTTTTAATTGTTCCATATGAATATGCATTTAGACATTATTTGTTATTTATAAAGTACATTTTCTTATTTAAAAACACGTAACAAAAATGGGGTGGGAGATGGAGGGCCAGAATGGATTAACAGCATTTCAATGGGGAAATTGCTTTGAGATAGGAGCATTTGAGTTAAGAGCTAGCTCATGGAACAAATTAAACTCTTACATAAAGGTATCACTGTATATAAAATGTATTTTACATTTATATAGTGAAATGTTTAGTTTAAGTGTAATCAATGTTCTTAACGAGCTATATTTTATTCGTTTCCTTATTTTAGTTCACATGACTATTTAAAAAATGGCCTATCACCATGTTTTCCACCTCCACCTCAGCTATGCCTGAATGAGTCTTAAACCTTAAGTTCTGCCTCTGATTAAAGATGGACAAAAAGTGTTCACTGAACAAGGTAGGACAAAAGTGTCATAGCTGCGTTTTACATAGGCTGTCCAACCATTTTTAAAAAGAGGACAGATTCAGTTCTCTCTGAAGCATTTCTTCTGGCACAAGCTGGGATGACCTGGACAAAATCTACATCGTCTTTTGGCTTCTTGATACTTACTGCTTTCCAATGTAACCCTAGGCACATTGCAGCCTGTTGAATACAGGTGGCCTTGGGCCCTGGCCTGTAGCTGTTGAGGGTCCCTCGCCAGTCCCACAATTTTCTGCAAAGTTATGCACAAAATCACAAGGAACCTCCCCCATCCAAGTATGAAACCTCCACCCTCAAAAGAATACCAGACCCCAAACTACTTCCAAATATCTCAGTTTTTCTCTACAGTCTTTCCCAAAATAAGAAGATAAGCTAAGAAGTGATGCAATGATATCTTCTGTCACCATTTGAGAGAGAGTGTACAGAAGAAAACAGAAGTATTCAGGCTTCCTTGGGGGATGTAGCCCAATGGAGAAGGAAGGTCTGGGAGGGACCAGCCCACAAAATGGGCCACTCCTGCTCTAGGAGGGTATCCTGGAGGACCATCTTCAAATACTTCTGCTGACTTTTGCCTTCTTGGATTCCAGTCACTCTTTCCCTTCTTCAGCCTCTTGCCTAGACTTTGCTGTTTTCTACCTCGAGTTGCTGTGGGCCAGAATGGGTTTGTCGTTCATATTCAGGATTTCTTTTTATACATTCTATTCATAATCCCAGACTCATCGCCTTTTTGAAAACCAGTACAGCAGGTGGTCCACAGGACTACATTTATGAGCCAACAAAAGATAACAGAAAATTAATTAACTAAACTATCGCAAGTCGAATTTAAGCAAACAGATGAAATACATAACATATTCTGTAAACCAAAACTGAGCAAGTCCCAGATGGAATAAACAGAAGCTTTGCATTTCCAAAGTTTCTCCATGTCCTTTCAGCAGCTAAAAGACTGCTATTGCAAAATTTGGAAGATATAAATACTCACCTCCTGCTATTCAATAAAGTGAGGATTGTATTACTCTTTCAATATGTGAACATAATGCATATAGACATCAATATTATATTACTATCTGGACATATGGTTTTCTTTTACTAAATTTATGTATTTTTCCATCTCCATATTTCTTTTACTGGGATTTTTTCTCAAATCAACTATGAATTATATTGTTTTCTCTTTTTTTACACGACTTATGCATAACAGAAATAAAAATAAAATAATATTTTAATTAGATTGCAAATGGAATGACTAAAATGAAGTTCACATCCCTCCAGTTTCTAAAACCAATGTAATGGCACAATCATTTTCTACATTTTTGCATTTCTTGAATATTATAGCTGAAAGAACACTTTACAGACATTTGTAGGAAAGCTAATGCTATACCTATGTAACCTGTAGTGTGCTGTTGACTCATGCTACCTCTTTACAAACAAGGGGGCACATATGGCCAAATATAATCCCACAGAAATAAACCAGTGGCAACAATGACCATGCAAACTGGCGAGTAGAAATACGATCAATGTTGAGATTTGTTTCAGCATGAACACAGCTTCTAAAAAGGTGTGACCATTTTTTTTCTGTTTCAACTGAACAGCATTACCTATAGTAACATAAAAGAATATGATTGCTAATGGATCTCAAAGAAATAAGCTGATAGGTTGTGACACTTTTTTCAGATCCACCCGTCAACCTGTTCATGACATGACATGGGTGGATGTTGTTAAATCCCCCCCCCCCATTTCTTTTGAAATAGTGCAGAGGAAAAAAGAAGAAAAGAACAAAAATGAAAGATTTTTTAAAAAAAAACAGTGCAGAAGAAATACATAGAGAATTTCTCCTCATTGCAGTGCGTATAAGCCATGTTAACTCACTGAAAGAACCTTTCCCTAATATGCATCTATTTAGTTTCACTGAAGCTATTCGAAAACCACCTCACTGATAGATAAAAGAAAAATTAAATTAGAGAAATTTGCCTGCCAATTTCAAAACTTATATGTTGCTGATTACTTTCTTCCCAGGGTCCCTTTATTCCATCACAAGGAGACAAAATTCTTATTTGAGCTTTCCAAGATTATCTAAGAGTGCATCTTATGACTTTCCAAGACTACCTAAGAGTGCATCTACACTGCAGAATTAGTGCAGTTTGACAACACTTTAACTGCACTAATTAGTGAAGCAGTAGCAGCACCATTTGGCAGAGGAGGCTAAAGTCATTATAAAATTACACCTCCCATGATTCTACAGCATTGAACCATGCCAATTATAAGCTGTATTAATTCTATACTTTACATGCAACCAATCTTGGAAACTAGATGCGCGTTATTGTTTTCATTGTGTGGAAAGTCTATCCAAAACTTCATTGCATGAAGAGAACTATAAGAAGCAACTATACAATGAGATACCAAACTAGGCTTAGAGTTAATTATTAGCAAGGACTACAAATAATCAAGATAGCTCCTTGACTATCAGTGTGTCCCAACAAGACACAACTTAATACTCCTGTCATAGAGCAAGATATATTGCACAGCATCCGCATCCCCTAAAAGAGAGCCAATACTCCCCACTTAGTTACTTAGCAGTCTTAGTTACTTTCTGATTACTAAGAGGAAAGGGAAAGAGCTGCTGCATTCTCAACCACTCCCATTTTATGAAACAGGTGATCAACACTATCAGTAATGACAGCACCAACATTTATTTAATTGTAGGTGTGGGTACCTACGTGTACACAAGCACATGCAAGCCGTCTTGTGTACACAGAACAGGATCCCGAAGGGTAACAAGGTCATGACTATATTTGCTGAAGCAGGAAAAATCTCCCAGAAAGTTATCCTTCACCTTCTGATCTTTGTTCATTGCAGCTGGGAGATTTGTAATGTGACCTGCGAGGTCTGGAGGCTTGTCATTAAGAAAGATTTACTCACCATGTCAGCCTGAACAATCTTCTTTAGAATCTTCTGCTTAGTTTTCAAATGTGTTGGTACACGTGCTCTCCTGACCTGCACAAACAATGATAAATATTATTCAGTATTTTTTAGGTTTCCAGCTTGAAAGCAAAAGCCGTATTTTCTTCAGTATTCATTTGTGGATTTTTCGTGGACGCACAGATATGTTATTTACACAAACAACTAAATTTGACTTTATAATCCTTGCACTTTTGACAGAAATTGTAAAAGAAGTGATCCCATCATCCCCGTTTCTGTCTCAGCTTTAGGATAATTACAGTGTATCTGAGTGTTAGTGTGATTCTAGGAGCTCAAACTTCAAATCCTTGCTTGGACATGAAAACTCATGGCTGACCCTGGGCAAATCATACTTTCTCAACCTTGGAGAAAAACAATGGCAAATCCTTTTTGAATAAATCTTGCCGAAGTCAAGTCAAATCTACTTGAAGGCACATAACAAGAATAATATTACAAAACGATTTGATGACCAAAAATAAGATCAAATGCAGTTTTGAAAGTAAAGGTATACATTTCCCCTGACATTAAGTCTAGTTGTGTCCAACTCTGGGGGGTGCTGCTCATCTCCATTTCTAAGCCGAAGAGCCAGCGTTGTCTGCAGACACCTCCAAGGTCATGTGGCCAGCATGACTACATGGAGAACCATCACCTTCCTGTAGAAGCGGTACCTATTGATCTACTTACATTTGAATGTTTTCGAACTGATAGGTTGGCAAAAGCTAGGCTTAACAGCAGGAGCTCACTTCGCTCCCCGGAATCAAACTGCTGACCTTATAGTCAGCCAGTTCAGCAGCTCATCAGTTTAATCCACTGTGCCACCAGGTGGCCCTGAAATGCAGATTTATTGGATGCTTATTCTTTTATGTAGTAGTTTGCTCCATCAATACTGAGAATGTTTGGCCATATCCTATGTACCATTATAACAAAAACTACAGTCTCTACTGTCACCATAATTACTGCCATATAATTGTGTGGAATATATTTTTATTGGATTTTTTGGAGGCTGCCTTGGGTCCCACTCTGGGAGAAAGCTGGCATATAAATTAAATATTATAATAAACTGTAATGCCAACAACGCAAATAATACTGCTTGTGTTACAAAACATACACTTCTCTGAAGGACAGTGTCTTCTAAAATGAATGTTGCTGAGCAGAGCATTTCTAATGTCCTTCTGGTGGCAGGCTAAAACCTTTCAATTCAGGCACACTTATAAAGAAGACAGGCTTTAAGACCAAACCAAGAGGTGCTGCATAGTGTTTCATGTATTCTAATAGTTGTTTAACAGTTTGAATTATTTTAGTTATTTATTTTTAATAGTTGCATGTTAAGTTCTATTTTAGTGTTTATACAATGTAGGTTTTTAATTGTACATTGTTTTTAAGCATTGTTAGCCACTTTGTATCATCTTTAACAGAAGTAAGAACTAAATAAATTAATAAAACCAATAGTACTTCTTTCATAGCAAACTAGGTACAGTTCCTTGCTTTGCGCCTTTAATAGAGAACACTAACAACAACACAACCTATTTATGGCGATCAATAATGTCTACCTAAGAATTCTAGTATTAATTTAAAAATATTTAACTATCCTGCTATGCTAAAAGGAAGGTTACTACCGGTAAACAAGGCAGTCATAAATTTTGTTGGTTAGAGTGTGCAAGCCAATAACCCAACTTTCTAGAGATCAAAATTAGATTAAAATATACACAGATGATATATCCAAAAGCAGTCTTTTAGCTGCTGAAAGGGAATAGAGAAATTTTGGAAATACATGGCTTCTGTTTATTCCATCTGGGACTTGCTCATTTTTGGTTACAAGATATGTTATGTATTTATATTTTATCTTTTGTGTCAGTGTGAGTTGTGATAGTCTAGTTAATCAACATTCTGTTATCTGTTTTTGGTTTTTAAAGAGGAGGGAAGAAAAAGGGAAGAAAAAGGAGTCTTCTGGCATATTCAAAATCTTTAATCAATGTATTTTAGCGTGGTCGGTTGTAGATTTAAATCTACCTCCATAAGTGAACTGAAGAAAATGGCTAATGTTAAAAGTTAATGTTAAAATAAATTGGGTTAGTCTTAAAAGTGCCACAGGCCTCCTTTCCCTCATCTTGGTCTTATTTTTGCATTGAAACAGACTAGCATGGCTTTCTCTCAGGAAACATATTTAAGGAAAGTCTCAGTAATTTTCTATTTAAATTATTTCCAAATAGCCATGCTCAGAATTCCAACTCACAAACGTTAATTGCCACTTCCTCTCTCCTTCAATTCTTTCTCTTCATAGGAATCCCATTCTGTTATTAGCATGAATATGATGCTAGAGATGCCAACGATTCTGAATTTAATAACTTCAAAGCAAAAGGTGAAATAGTTATAACTGTAATTAAGACTGTCAAATTAAAAAAAAATGATGGCAGCATCATTCGGTAATGTGCCTGATACTGTAAGATGAAGGGAAATATAAAAATATTCTGCTTTAATAAAGAAAACATGGAAACAAAAATGGCAAATCCCCCCAATAATTCAAATGTTGTCTTAGTCATTAGTATTGTAAATATATTTTGAACGATTAAATTGCCTGAAATTATCTCTGCTGTTAACCATTCTAAGTATAAGGACATTTTAGCTTTTAAGAAGAATGTTTTGTTCCTAGCTATGATGTTCAGTCATCTGATCCCTCTCAAGGTCAATGCCTTCAGTAACTTAATAACGATTACATCATTCCCCTCTATCCATCTGTAGGACAATTACATCACTGATCGATAAAAGTGGTCTGTGCTTACTATTAGCATATTCATATACACAACTGGGTCCATAAATCCTCAGCGGCTTCATTTATTAAAGCAGCACACTCGCTTCACAAACGAATCCTTTTTTTACTCTCCTTTTTCAACAAGGCAAAATTTATTTTACAATCTGTGAATAAATAGGTGTGAAATGCAAAGCAGAGTACAGTTCACTCAGAGTAAATTGCCCGTGGGCTTGCCTAATGATCCCAGAGATAATGACAGTTATTTAGGCCTGTTAACAGGGATGCAACATCCTTGCATCAGATTCATTTTGATAGTCGGGAGAATCCCACGCTCTTATAGCCCTTGCCTTTTTCCCAATAGGTCATGTCAGATTTAGAGCGTACAGCAGAATGCGGACTTGTGTATCTAATACCATCAACTTGAAAATATTTTCCTTGCCCCATAACATCACTGCCCCTATCTTATGGGGTATAAAAATGTCTAGCAATTAGCAGGATTTATTAGTGTGCTTCTTGAAATGACCCCAAAGCTCATTCAGATACTCAAGTGGTTATTTTCAACTCATACTGGACAGTTGAGTTGCCTGTTTGAGAGCTCCCCTGTAGTAAAATACTTGCCTACATGTGATATCCTATTCAGTCAGGGAAAAGGTCAAGTATGACTCCACACAGTAGTTTTCCATATATGAAAAAAATACAGTAGTATTAAATAAATGATCCCACATTTACAGCCTGAACCTATAAAATTCAGGGCAGAAAGCAGTATATTTTTGCACTGGGGTTATTGTACATTGTAATCACATCTTTTCCAGGTCCGTGCTAGTTCACCACTCTCCAGTCTGTGAGTAATCGGCTTGTGCATGGATTTGGAGTGGTCGGTTCGCTCCGGCCAATCAGGATTGTTTGGCTTGGGTAGATGGCCGTAATGGTAAGGGCTCAGCCGTGACTCTTTTTTCTCCATAATGGGACTATGCGGCAGCCAATCATGCCTCCTCCTCCTCGATTCGGCACCACCCAGCATGCAGAGAGGCTACTGCGTGCTGCTCACAAGGGGTTTTCCTATGAACCCTGCCTGTTGAGTTGATCAGGATAGAAGAACGCTGTGACATGTCTTACGCACTGCTTCCTTTACCTCGTTGCTTGACCACAGACTTCCATGAAAGGAAAAAAGAAAAAGGTCCGAGGAAGGATACTTCTTTAACCCTGTTCTTCAAACCTAGACTCCCTTAAAAGGAAGATAGAAAAGGGTCCCAGGAGAGGTGCTTCCTTAACCCTGTTCTTCAAACCCAGATTCCCTTGAAAGGAAGATAGGAAAGGGTCCCAGGAGGGATGCTTCTTTAACCCGATTCTTCAAACCCAGACTCCCTTGAAAGGAAGATAGGAAAGATTCCTAAGGGGGTACTTTCTTAACTCTGTTCTTCAAACCCAGACTCCCTTGAAAGAAAAGGGCCCCAGGAACAGAAAGGGGAGCTTTGTAAGTTCCCCATTCCTGCCAATTGGCCAGATCTTCCTGGATCTTTCGGCTGGCTAGCCAAAAACAGATTTTTCCATTAGCCGATTTTCAGGAGTCTCCCGAAAACGGATCTGGGTATCCACCAATATTCAGATACTAAGAATGGATCGCCCTCCAGACGAATTGCACAAGCCTAGTGAATAATACTGTGCTAAAATCATACATGGGCCAAGATTAAAGATCATCATCTTTTTTTAAAAAAATGGTATGTACAGTGGAATCAATTTCTTCGTGCAAATCCCCAAACTACATCTTTATATCAAATGTTGAAAAGAGCTAGACGGCTACTACAGAAAAGCAGACACCCAGAAAAAGCAAGTCCATGCTCACCACATGACTTAAACATATATAACAGAAACAATCTCCCCTGCACAAGTTCTACTGAAATCAGAGTAAACAGACTTAACCTCAACAGTACAAAAACAATCAATAGAAGAAGTACCCTTCAGTCTGTTATATTTTTCACACAATGCTTCCATCCGGAAAGCAAATGCTTTGTAATTCTAGGACATTACAATGCAATCTGCTCAAAAATAGCCTCTCTGTGTATAAAAGTAGCTATAATGACAATAACCTATGAAGGAAGACACATGTATGTAAGTAATACATTTTGATCCTGATGCCAAGTAACTGACTGTGCCTACTTCAGAAAGACAAACTAATTTCATCCTCTAGGAAACATGCCTTTTAAAATTATCTCCACTTCTTTTCAAGCTATCTGATGTAGTCCATCAGCAATTTTCTCTAGGCACTATATTTATTCTGTTTTCCCCC